CCCGGACCCGGACCCATGCAAATTTGATCGGGTCCGGACCCGGACCGGGACCCCCCGGGTCCGGACCAAAAAAGACCAACCCTGGTTGTAAATACCTTTAAAAAATATCAGGACACCACGAAGTCGAGTTTTTTACGGATTTACTGTCTTAAGTTACGTCCCATCGATACATCAACAGCTTGCCTTTTTGAGATACGATGTGTAGAATATGCGATGATGTCGTGGTCGCCAGGTTTCTTGGATAATCTACAAATTTCAGGATTCCGTTAACCACCTGGCCTCCACCTGCAAAAACCAGGCTTTTCCAAATTCATGAAAATTTCAACTACAGTTTTATGACCGCTTTCCACAGCATAAATTTTCATTGGACGTTTTGTGTACGTTTTTATAAAACCGACAATATAGCTGGCGAAATGCCTAGACTGATGGGAAAAAACAACGGTGGGGCTAGGCTACGTTTCTAACAAGGGAACCTCAAGTTGGCACGGTGAAATTTCGAAAAACGCTTGCGGCTACCCCCGGGTTTTCGACTATGGCGATTCCAACGCTCTAGCCATAATTTCCTAAATGTTTCTTCCTTTTCCTTAATTTCCACTCGACCGTTCAACTGGTGATTCCATAGTGATGGGCGGGCCTCATAAACCTATCGTCGATGCTAATTTTTGAGATACAAATCATCATTTTCCGGAAGTGCTGTATCTCTGCCAAGAGGCCCATTAAGGAAATTCTGACTAGAGAGTTGGAATCGCCAGAGTTGAAAACCCGGGGGTAGCCGCGAGCGTTTTTGGAAATTCCACCGTGCCAACTTGAGGTTCCCTTGTAAGTAAGTTCCAAGCCCGTAGCGTAAATTTGCGACTGGACTCTTTCTTGGTATCGGCGCTCCAGCCAGCCGCTCCCAAGCTCCTCGATGTTCCTCCAAATGAAGTTTTCTAAAAAACTGCCCTTTGAAAAATGTACCACCCTGATTTTCACAGAAGGTTTGGGTTCTTTCATCAGCCATCAAACCACAAAATTGCCCCCGTGAATTGCATAGAAAATTAGTGATCCCGTTCGCCGGGTATTTTTCTGTTAATTGAAATCTGGCTGCCCATTTACACACAATTATGGTAGCATCTGGCATATTTGACGAATTTCAGTGTGTTTTTTATATCAAAGAGCTCCTGACTACAAAAGACGCTGCTCCAGAGGAAGAGCTTGAGTTTTGAAAAGGGCTGCTCATGGCTTTTTGGCTACAAGTGGTTCCATTTGCACACCGGCATAACAAAAATAAACGGGGGGGTTTGCCTTTCAAAGACATTCTTGCGCAATACTTAAAGGGCGTCTGGCAGCAAGCCCCTTTTTCCACGACTCGTGGAAGCGTCGCGGTCGGGTGCGTCGCGGCAGGGAGAGAAAGAGCGCGCCCAGAGGAGAGACGCAGACAGAACTCTGCGTCTCTGCCCGGTCCCCAAAATGCCGTAATCGGTGTGCTGCCAGAGCCGCTTTAATGCACCTGTTCCCATATGTAACATTCCAGTTTCGATTCAATATTCGGTAAAAAAACTTTTTTTTTATCGCAAACATTTCTCAAAATAGCTCTCCCATTTTCAGTACCATGAGCGCGTGCCAAGTTTAAACGAGGAAAGACATTTTAGTCTGAAAAATGTGCTAAATTCGATTTTTGTCATTCGTCATTCGTCCTTTGGCGTGGCGCGTAGGCGGCTACTGCCTAGAACGGCTAGCATATTTTTACCGCTTTTCGACATTTTTGTTTGTAAAAATTTGCGAAAATGCTTAAACTAAGATTTAGCGACTAAAACGAGAAAAATTTAAGATTTATATTTTCCCTTTCCGGTTCCGAACTGTCTATTGGAGAAGCTTGAAGCTCCTGATATCTAGGGATTGGGTGGGGGTACTGCCGTACTTTTCCGGCGCATCCACCTCCGGTGGTTTTCGATAATTTTACTCGATACTTTTACAGCGTTTGCAAGCGACCGAATGATTCATATTTCCAGGAATCCTCAGTTTTTGTTTTTCCGGTCAAAACCAAAATTTCCGGCATGGTTTTCAGGGAAAATTAGCGCTTTCCTCCCCCAGTTTTTTTTTGCCATCTTTCTTCTGCCTTCTAAGGGAAGGTTGGACGCTGTAATAATTAATTCCGCTCCACCGATCCCACCCAACCACATCCAGATACGTTCTATTCAAATAGAAATTAATTAACCGCAAATGACTCGTTCTATTTCGTGCTCTGTTTCAAAGGAAAGGATAATGTGCGTTTCTCCGCGTCTTGGTACATAGGCCGTGGGAGCCGGGTGCACGAAATTGATCAAATGTGAGATTCGAATCTACTATCCCGGCTTCGCACATTTTTCTACGCACATTTTCCAAGCACTCGATTCCGTTAAATTCTTTCAAAACTACGCGGCGTTCCGGGTAATTTTTCCTTTTTGCTTTTTTTTTGCTTTGGTGTGCTCTAGGAATCCTTTTCATTTCTCCCTTTTCAGATCTTTGCAGGATTACCAGGGCCAGTCCATAGAAATCCACCATAACAATTCATTGACAGCCCCTTTAATGCTTCCAAATCTTGCTAAAATCGAGTCTTCTGTTGACTAGGTCTCGATCAGGTTATAAGACTGCTTAATTTCCGTCATTTGGGGCAAGATGTAGTTGCCGAAACCTAATAAAAACGGTGGATTTCGACACTTCCCAACCCCCTTAAAGCAACTAATCTTGCTGACTGCTCGTTTCGGAAATTTGACTGCTGAAAATTCTCTATATCCTCGTTCCTATTTTTATTGATTTTCTTGATTGGAATTTTTCTATATTTACAGGATTATCTAGATTACGCACTAATGGTGAAGCATGGCGCCCTCGTCCCAAATCCCTATTTGCAGGAATATTTTGTCTATATGCAGGTATCGATCCGCGAAGCGTTAATCTACAGGGTGTCCCATAAAAAAACACCCCTTCGCATTTCGCCGTATTACATCCAATCGGTCCCAAAATTGGACGAGAGGTGTATTGGCCCCTAAATAACCACAATCCTGAGTTATAGCCCGCCAACCACAGTAATTTTCGAGATACAACAAAAATAAACTTTATAATGCGTTTTTCATAGGGTTTTCGTCGGAATCGACCTTTCGAATATTAAGTGAAAATGAAGCGGCAAGCCTGCTTTACCCCCAGGGATTTTTTCTGATAAAAATTAGTGAAATAACCGTTGATTTCAACAATTTTTGTAACGCAAAGTCACCCCCGATATTAAGCGAAATTAGGGATTCGCAGCCGGAAGTCGATGCAAATCGATGCAAAGTCCAAAAAGATAGCCGAAAAACTGTTAAGAACCGCGTAAAAAACAGTATTTTGACGATAACTCGAAAACTACTGTAGCTGGCGGGCTATAAATCAGGATTGTGGTTATTTAGGGTCTGATACACCTCTCGTCCAATTTTGGGACCGATTGGATGTAATATGGCGAAATGCCGGAGGGGTGCTTTTTTTTGGGACACCCTGTACATGATTTCTAGGCCTTTGAAGCCTCACTACTGATGGTTTTTATCATTCACTTATTTATCTACTATCGGTTATTCGCGAAAGGATGGGTAAGCGAAAATTAATGGCCAATTTTAGCCAAGGAAATAACATTTCTATGTGATTTTCAATTCTGACTGGTAGCCAGATGGCTTTAAAGTATTACCAGGCTGTCTTTGCCACTTGCCAAAAATCTGTAGACAATTGTATGCCTTTAACGGCTTTTTAAAACATCTGTTCCAGGTTTGCCACCCCAACCTTGCCACCCTAATGTTGTGGCAGCCAACAGCTCTCACGATAGCGGAATTTATTCGAATGACTATGCATATACTCACGCACTATAATATTCTCACACCGACTACCTATCAAATTTTTTCATTTCTCACGGACTGCAGTGAGTTACTTCCAACCACACTTTTCATGTCACACTTTTCCAAGCTCAAAAAAATGCATAGATCATAGAGATTAGAATTCAAACCTTAAGCGGAATTAGGAAGCTAGGAAATCAGTCCCTTTTGACGTCAGAGTCAGCGCTTCCAAGTCTCTTTAAAATGTAAAAACCAAAGCATCGATCCCTAGGGCCCGCTAAATCTCGACATCTTTCTGACACGAGTGACGCTGTCGTAGTTTTTCTTGAAACTTGAGACTCTTTGAAGCGGCGTGTAGCTGTTCAATCCATTCAAGGGAAAAGGCCGGCTGGCGCATCTTTTAGCTCTTTAAAAATGATTTCGGGTTGCCATAAGGCTCCTTGTATTTCCTCATAGTCAGCTTTAGTGGGCGGCTCGTCCCTACAAATGACGATGGGTTACGCCTTGGAACGGGCAATTTCTCTGCGATACCTTGAAACATATACACAGAGGTTTTCCAGTAATAAACTCGGGTTGACCCTGGTCATCTCCACTGTAAGTTTCTGGAATTCGAGAGAGAGAGGGAGTGAGAGAGAGAGAAAGAGCGAGAGAGATTGAGGGAGAGAGAACGAGTCGCCGTCAATGAGAAATCTTTCAGGTATTTGGCGCCTTCTTTGAACTGGTCATTTTCTACAACCAGTGGATCAGTGAAAGCAAGACATTTGCGCTAATTTATTTTACCTATACGATCGCTATCTTTGTAAGTATCTTAGAATGATTCTGAACTATAAAAGACCAATCTTTCGCTACATAGCCTTTCAGGTTTTCATCAGTCTCTACGTCATCAGCAGGCAACTTTATAGAAGAATCTATACAAAAAAGTACAGCACTATTGAGGACAGGTCCTTCAAAAATTAAAAGTGAAAATATTGTTGTTTTTTAAGGTATCGCACGCAGGAGAATTTTAAAAGTTCGAGAACATTGTTATTTTTGGCACCTTATAAGGTAAGAAAATGCCGAAAGTTTACTACACCTTTTTGGTATTTTTAGTGCGTCACTAGCTTTTGCATCGTGATGTGGTATCAGCTATTTATGTGTAGGAATGAGGATCAGCAACAGTTTTTTACGTTTTTCTTCTATTACTTTATGCAGATTCAAGTGGGTTTATCGTAGTCCCTCTCTCTCTCTCGCTCTCTCTCTCTCTCACTCTCTCACTCTCTCTCACTCTATCTCTCTCACCTCGCTCGTTCTCTAGTTTTTGATTTAGATTATCGTACAAATGTACATTACTGCATTCGCGATCCGAAACCTTAGGCTCAATTTATATTCTATGCTCCGGAGGAAGTTGAAGGTAACAGAGTTTTTACAATGCTAATTCTAGGTAATTTAACCGTTTTAGGTAACCCCGGAAGCCGCCGTCCGCGATGCCTACGGGAAACGGATGATTTTTAATGGAGTGGAAAGAGACGATATGTACTTTGATCAGTTTAATAAAATGTGGAACTGATAGAACAACCAAATTACTGCTCTCTCTCTCTCTCTCTCTCTCTCTCTCTCTCTCTCTCTCTCTCTCTCTCTCTCTCTTGGTCGCTGACTCGCAAGTTAAAGGTATCGGCTTTTTAAGCTAGAAGCTTGATTTTCGTTCCTACTAGCGTGTAGCAGACGTTAGTTTAAGATTTGCCCCCAAACTACCGTCCTGGATGTGTATGGAAAACGCATGATTTTTAATGGCCACGAAAGTAACGAAATCTACTTTGATCAACTTAACAAAATGTTGAAATAATTGTATAAAAATTTTTATTATTAGGATGTACATATCGCATTACAATTTTGATAAATTTTATCATTTATTCTAGCGATATTACTGACTCAGACCCGGGTTAATATAATAAAAACTTAGGCTATATAACACCCGTCACTCTTCCTCTGATGCTGTTGCGTCTTCCTTATAGCCAATCTCCTCGTACACTCGGTTTTACCACAAATTCGTATGCTGGCTATAACGTGAAAATTAGTAATAAAAACATGAAGCTACGAAAATTATAGCAACTATGACTATTAGCGAGCTAAATCGTGATGATGATAATGATGCCTAGTAAATCCTATGACCTTAAATTACTAACCTGATATCGACTCCTCCCATAGTCCGTAGGATGTCTGCCTCCCCAATCGTAGAGCAGCTTTTTGGCAGTCGTAATCGAACACGTCGCAGTGGATTCTAGAGCATGAAAGTGATTCTAGTATTAAGTAGTTTACCCGTCCTCGCAAAATATCGATTGTGTGTCGATGAAGCGGCAGTTTGGGCAGCCCTTCGCGGCCTCACCAATCAGGGTAAGAGTCGGGGCACACTGCTCGAGGTAGTCCTGGAAATTTTAATTATTGAAAAGGTGTCGATTTCAAGAGAAACAGATGATACAAACTACAAATTTGGCATAGAGCTGTTTAATCGATGGCTGCTAATCGGCTGCAACTTTTAGGCAAGTGATTGAGCCGGACTCCAAGCGAAAAATCCGGCTGGCAAACTATTTGTAGAGAAAGGCGCAGCGCCAAATGAAGGAAGACCTGCGGAAAAAGCAGTTTCAATTCCGATTCACGTTTGTGCACGAATGGTGAGCTTTTCTTGCTATCGATCAGGTGCTTTATCGACAGAATCCTAAATACCTCACCCCTCACCTCATACAAAAACCTAGTCTGGTTCCTCTCCGGAATCACACCCTTCTGCCGGAAGTTCCTGGCATAACGATGCGCGATTTCTTCATCAACGTAGTACATTGGTAGTGTGATTAACAGATAGTCCGTTAAGCTCCTTTAGACGTTCAGAAATTCATTTTACGATGTACGATGACTTACGATAGCTTTGCGATTGTTGATTTTGCAAACGGAAGCATCCGCTCAAAATGCTTTTTCGCTAATTCGTTGGCAAGGCCGTAGCTGAAAAATCCAAGTTTTCTTTTAGAAGATAAGTTTTCAAACCCGAGGACCAGCATTGTGATTTTGGGTTTGATCTCCTCCATTTCAGCAACAACTTTTTTGGTAAAACTTTCGCATCCCCAGCCCATGCTGTGAATTCCGGTGTAGTTGAAGAATGGGACACAAGCTGAAAAAGCATATCAATTTCTCGTTTCTCTCTTCTCTCTCTCTCTCTCTCTCTCTCTCTCTCTCTCTCTCTCTCTGGCGTTGTAAACTTACTATCTCCATCCATATGATAATACTTCCGATAGCGACCTCGGAAAATCTTGTCCGGCCATCTACGGTATTTTTGTAGGTAGGAATTTCCGGCCACAAAAACATCGAATTTCCCTTTCCCTTTCTAAATGCATCAAGTGCTCATACTTTATTAAAAATACTCGAAAATCAGAATACAAATTCAGTAAGTAAATCGGACCAAAACTTACCAATAGCTTAAAGTATCCCGTCTCAGACAACGTCACATTTTCCCACTCCGGATTTTCAGGTTTTGTGTTCAGGGCATCGCAGTCTGAAAAAGGTAACAAGCCGTATTCGACCGTACTGGAACGAATTGGAACGTGCTGAAACGTCGCATAGCGTAACGCGAGGTACTGAGGCGTAGGGAAGCGTACTGGTACTACCTAGCCATCAAAGTCACCTTACCTTTTGCCGTAACATTATAGCTTGGCTGGGCCAAGAATTTCGGTTCTTCGGATTCATTTCCACCATTTAAAGGCAGATACATCCCAACCACCGCCATGATATAAGCGAATGCCGTGATCCAGAGGCAGAAACGGGCCTACATTTGTAATTTTTAGAGGTTGGCCATTCATACCGAAACCAGTGTCAAGGGATTTTCAACCAGATGATGAGCCAAAATCGTCAATGTGATGGTTAGGACAATCATCATGCCGTAGCCTAAAAATCCGTCTTTTTGGTTTTAAATTTCATGACTACCGTATGCGTCAATATCGATCCCGTCGTAGTATAATTCTTTGGCAAAAGTGATAACTGGCCAGTGGATGAGGTACATTACATAGGAGATATCGCCGATATAGGGAAGGGGTTGGAAGGTTAGCCATTTTGTTTCGGCTGGAATTGGTTGTTTTTACTTGATAGCTCTCTATCCCTCTACTCTCACTCGCTCTCTCTCCCTGTCTGTCTCTCTCTCTCCTCTCCTTACCTATCTGTGAATATCGTATAATTATTCCGGTTAACACCGTAACAACGGGTCTCGAAATCCAGGCCGGTAAGAATGGATCTGCTGCCAGAATCAAGCAAGCCAAAAAGCAAATTATAGTTATCGAGCCGGCTCTCCCTTCGCATTTATCGCCTAAAAACTGTAGTTTTTCTAATCTGTACACATTACCATAGCATATCTCTGATTTCCCAGCCTCTTCCTCTAACAATGCCAATTTTTCATAGCCCGGATTAGCCGATTCCGACTCGGCGTTTTCCAAAATATGCAGATGCACAAAAATGCCGATGAGAAATTGCCAAAGTCGACAGAGGACGAAGCCGAATGCCTCGCCGGGCGGTAGTACCTATACCTTAAATTGGATACAACTAAAAGTATAGCTTACCAAGGTTAAAATCAAAGAAAAAATAGCCAAAATGGTGGTGAGAATTGCTTGCCCGCCGTACTCAAATTTGCGCAACAGCCAGAAAAGAATGGGAACGATTAGGTAGAATTGCATCTCGCATCCCAGCGACCAGGTATGGGCCAAGAATTTGTATTCGGAGATCTGAAAACGCTAGGTTATCGGATTCATTGATACCGTGTTTATAGTACTCTTGATGCTATAGAAAAGACTATATTAGGCAGTGGTTTATGAGAAGTTTAGAACTTTTTGGATCCTTAATCGTTTAAATTAGCTGCTTATATGTCTTTATTAAAAAATAAATGTTATTCTTCGAGCAATTTAAAATTACATAAAAGTTTATCGCATATCAAGCATATTTCAGCTCCATTAAGACCACATACGGCACCACAGCGTTATTCGAGTTGTGAATGCAAATTATGGCTATTGTAGGCTTTTTGATGCAAAAATTGGTCAATATAATTTAAAAAGCTTGGAAATTATCAGAACTAGAATACGGAACTACTCCTATCTACACCATCCCGAAGCTGCCTGTAACCATCCTTTAAAGCGCACGTTCAGGGAGGGGCCGCGTACTCGTCCCAACGTGTACACCCTATGGACGTAGGGAGCGCGCGCACTGCCTGCCCGTGCTGTGACAGGCCATTCCTCCTTTGCGGCGTGGGGCGCCCTTCGCCCCCTTGCCAGGTTGTAGCTGTGGCTGACTGGTATCCGTTCGCGCCTCCCGAGCGGGGGGCCCGGGTTTGACCCCCGGCCGCGGCAAAAACCTTTGCTTTTTTCCAAAAAACGTCTCTGAACGTGCCCTTTAAAGCCTGGAAAAAAGCAAAGGTATTTGCCGCGGCCGGGGGTCGAACCCGGGCCCTCCGCTCGGGAGGCGCGGATGGATACCAGTCAGCCACAGCTACAACCTGGCGAGGGGGCGAGGGGCGCCCCACCCCGCAAAGGAGGGGAATGGCCTGTCACAGCACGGGTAGGCCGTGCGCGCGGTCGCTACGTCCATAGGGTGTACACGTTGGGACGAGTACACGGCCCCTCCCTGAACGTGCGCTTTAAAGGGATGCCGACGGCCTAGTCAATCGGTTACGCGCTGGAAAGAAAATGTCTCTGCCCCTCTCCCCTGGGCGCGCTCTCTGCCCTGTTGGCTACTTGCCAATTTGTTGATGGGGTGGATCGACACATGCCGTCGGCAGCCCTTTAAAGACCGTCAGAACGATGAAATTTCGTTAAAAGCAAGAAAGTCGCGCACCAGGCGAGGGTCGAACCCGCGATGGTCAGCTCCACAGTCCGACGCGTTAGCCACTATACCACAGGGTCGAGTAGGGAAGGGAGTCAGAGGCGCCCCAAACCCAAGAGGGCCTTTGCTGAGTACGGGGGCTGCTAACGACGCCTCTCGCTGCGCGTTCTTGGGGGGTGCACCTTCGAGGTGACAGTGTGCGTTCCAGAGTTCTAGCAGTCTTTAAAACCTCCAATTTCTTACCATCCTCCAATAGTCAATCTTCTCGAAAAATGGCTGCAAATTTGACGAGATCGCCAGTGAAAACCACGAATCCGCGAACAGATTTTCCTTATCCACATCTGACAAGGCCAACTGCCCGGCCCAGACTACGGTAGCGATGCAGATTCTAGGGCAGACGCTATGCTTTCAACAAAAATACAGGATTACCCATAGCAAGGCATAATTCGCTTAAAGCGTCTTTTGTAGAATTCGAGCATGTTCTCCAGGGAGAGACCCTTGTTGAAGAAGATCCGGGCCATCAGGTAGCCAGAGATGACGAAAAACCTAAGTCATAGGAAACATTTAAAGGGCTGGGAGGCGAGTAAAACCTCCTCCCCCCCGTCGTCCAGGTCTAGACAGCTACACGTTTCAATAAAATACGTTCACAAAAACTTTAGTTCTTAATTCGGTCTGCCTGAAATGGACCCGAAAGAGTAAAATTTCTGTCGGTCCTCCCAAACGCTCGTTTTAGCAAAAGGCGTTTCAAATGTTTTGAGCTACTTTGAATCGCGGCGTAAAGCCAAGTGACGTTTTTGCTGTATTCGATTAGTGGCCATTTAAAGGAATATTCAAGTACAGAATCTACCCATTGACTGACCATGTCTCGAGGGTAACATTTTGCACAAAATCACTACACAAAAACGCCTTCGAGGCGACGACCCTTCCCCGCTTTGAAAGGCACCTGTCGAGACCTAGTGGAGGGAAGCGGTCAATTTTGGCGCTTCGTGACTTATTTGATTTTTTTGATTCATTTGGGTTATCGTTGATTTTTTAAGTAGTTTTTATCGACTGTTTTTTAAGAAGCGAAAAGTCTTTTGTTAGTCATAAAATTGTAGAATAACGCGTCGAAAATTTGAAAAGTCCCAAGAAATTATAATTTTACGTTTGTTAATTTCGTAAGAGCGTAAATCCCATTCAATGTGAGTTTTATTCTCGCTTACAATCTTAGCAATCAACAAAAAGAAAGCTAATAAATTCTTACATATCGACGCCCAAAAACCCATGCGGCATCCATCGCTCATTCAAATGATATAGCAGCACAACAAATATTGCGAGAGCACGTAGGGATTGGATGGTCCCAAGCTTTTGGGCCATTTTTACAATGTTTTAACGATTATAATCCTTAAAACATCGCAATTAGGAGCGTAGCCGAATCTAATTTTTGAACGAATTAATGATTCGATTTTCAAAATATCATAATTCAAGCGTGCAGCAAATCTAGTACGGTAGTGGTTCCCCCTTCGCGATGCCAACCGTTGGTGACGATCTGATCTGCGAGGTGTAGCTGCGTAAACATTCCGAATTCCGCTGCGGTACATCGCCCGAGTCGTGGCAAGCCTACCTGCAAAAATTTATTTAGTTTCCCAATTTTTTTTTGGGTGGCTTTTGGGTGCCGAATTCCGGAAGGCTGCTATGCACACTTTGAGCTGTTAATTTGTCCTATATGGGGCAGAACGTAAACATCTAACGTGGCAGAATTTCGGAGCCGACCACCGGGTGTTGCCCGGGGTCTTGCTGGACGGTATTTTGGTCACGTATCCGAAATTCTGGCATAGGAGGTATATTTTTTAGTGGATAATTATCTACCAGGACTGTTTCTAACTGTAAAGTGTTTTTACCCAGGCTGGCGTTTTGGGTTGGGACCAAGTCTACCTTGTGCAAAATTTTTCGCTGATTTCGAATATGGCTTCCAAATCTGCTGCCGACCTTTATTTAAAAAGTTATTCGACATTTATACTAAAAAAATTGCGAAAATTTGGATTTATTTGCGTTATTTTTAAGCTGTCGTCATCATCAACGTTGAAACTGGCTCGATTACGGTTGTAGACGCTAAAGTACGATTTTATGCAAAAATTCGGTGTTTTTGCGCAAAAAGAATTGTGCGGGGCTGAGGTTCGAACCGCCGCCCTGTGCTTGGCAAGCGAACACCTTGCCAATGCACCATGGCGCCAACTGGGTAGGGGGCTTCGGGAGGATAGAAAATGGGCACGGCAATGCCTGGAGCCAGGCCGGGAATAGTGGGCCAGCATCCGAATTTATGCCGTTTTTAAGCTTGATTTTGACCTCACATGACTTTTTAACGCAAAGTCCGCAGCAAATTTCGAAAACGGATTCGGAATCAGCAAAAAATTCTGCACAAGATAAGCTTGGTCCCATTGAAAACGCCTGCCTGAGTAAAAACACTTTACAGTAAAACGAGTCTGCTTCTAACCTCACAAGTGCCAGACTTGAATAACTAGATTAAGGTTAGCACTTTACTAATAAAAAACACATTTTACGAGATGAGAAATACCCTCAACATTTGCTTCATATCCTCAGCGCCTAATAAATTGCGAACTACGCTGCGGTCCGGTCCATTCCGTGATGCGTTGCGCGTTACGTACGTCCTGCGTTACTTGCTTACATCTGCCAGTTAAAGCTAAAAGTATGTACCTTGAATTTCATTAAAGTTATTTTTTAACTACTAGACCAGCTTTTAATACATTACAAATACTCTTAAAATGTGCAAAATGCAAATGCTTATTTTTTAAGTGCAACCAAATTTCAAATACTCTGCGGGGCACTTTCTCGTCGCTTGCGTTGCCTGTTGCGTCGCGTGTTGCGTCGCCATTTTCTGCAAGTAATATTATGTTGTCTCTTTTCATACCGTAATCAAATACCTTTATTCCTTACATAAAACTAAAATTAAGGTAAAAACGACTAGATTCAACGGGGCAACACTAAGAAAAGAGAGATGGCACCGAGAAGCGAGATTCATAGATGAGTGGAGACCTCCTCCACTGCTGGTTTGCCGAGCGACGCGGAAGTACAGAATACGGTCGATTTTAATGCTCTAAATGGATGGTGAAGATCTAGAAAAAAATAAGTCAATAGATAGCAAGAGAAACGGTGAGTGATGGCGACTGAAAAAAAAATGGAAAATCCTCATTATAAGCGTTACCAAAATCCATCAAAGAACAGCAAAAATCGGAAAAGTACAGCAATCATCGAATAAAAATAAATTAATAGCAAATTTGCATAAAATAAAATAAAATTGTGGAATTTCCAACGCACTAATGGGACCCCTAATTTTCTGATAGTCTAATTCTCCTGAAAAAAATTGAATTTTTAAGACCGGATCGGCTAATCATAAAAGGTAAAATCACAAGTGTAAAAAAAATCAATTTTTGAAAGCCAAAACATCTAACTTTGGAGAAAATAGTAATTAAGATTTTTAGAAAATTAGCTTTTGGCATAATTTTTAAAAGAAGGCAATAGAGCCTACTTAATAAAAATTTTTTAAAGCATTTTGAAAGCTATTGCTGTGAATAAAGTGACATATGGATAAATTATACAAGCATGAAATATAACAAAAACACACGGTGTAATCGGGTTAGTATTCGTATTGATACCCCTGCATCCGTGCCGCATCGGTTCCCTCGATTTTCTGATAGTTGTCATTAGTGGCTGGGAGTTGGGCCGTTACTCCATTCGATACGGCGCTTGCCTGAATAAGAAAAACAATAACGGAATCAAAATAAATAAATAAAATTATCTTCAAAAATGCAATAATTGGAATATACTGATGAGGCCGATCCTTAATGAATTGATTTCAAGTTTTATAAACCGATAAAAACTCATTAACAAAAGGTTTTGCAAAAGAAATGCGGTGCCGACTTACTTGACAATTTCGAACAAGTGTCTGTACTAAAATTTTTAACCTTTTGGGTCCTCCAATTTGTAGTAAAGTTAACTGGACGAATATGCCTTACCTCGTTCTCCCGAATAATCGGTGGTGGACTCCTCAGCATGAACATTAGGGGAGCGTAGATAAAGTTGATGATTGCGATTATGTACATCATACTAAAAATGTAATAAAATTAGCATGTTGCAGCTCTAAAAAATTTTCTCAATTTTACAAAGCAGGTGTTCAGCCATTGCACAAAGCTAGTAAAGCAAAGCAGAGCATGACCCACGTCGGGAATCCAACTGAGCGAACCAGTGGTCCGGAGAAAAATGGTCCAAGTGCAAATGCAAAGCAGAAAGCCGCGTCAGCTATCGCATAAATGCTGCCGTAGACTCCGACGTGACGGAGATCCACCAGATGACCCATCAATGGGAACATCGACGCGTCGATCATTCCTGAAAGTAATTTCAGACGTAAGCTTTTAATAACTTTAAAGTCCTGCAAAACAGCGTACCGATCGAGAAGCCCATGAAAAGATGCGGGATAATGAGACCCCCGACGGAAGTGGCTGATGGAATAAGCAATAGGCAGAAGCCAATGATGACGAGACCGATAAACGCAGATAACCATCTAATAAGGGTGATATGCGTAAACCATGTTAATGGGTTTCGTTTGGCCGCTATCCGTAGTTACCGAATAAAGGTACAAAAATATGTAGAGTCAGTGTTCAGGGCAAATGAAGTAAATATATTGAGTGTAACGTATAAATAAGGAAAAATAATGAGACGATATAGATTTGCAAGCGGTCCGTTTTTAAGACCTACCGTCCCATCTTGTGCGCCAAAGGACCGAAAATATTCGTCCCAACAAGGTACGAGATTGAAGCCGGTAAGAAGGCGATACCTGAAGATTAAATTAAAATAATTGCAACGAATTCAGAAGTTAAGAAAAAAATACAAGTAGGAAATTGTACATTGAACATAAATCATCTAAGTTTGCTACCTCTTTCAAACGACCCAGCCTGCCACGATTCCATCATCCAAAGTGGAAGTGAGGGCTCGAGCATGGCGATGCCGAGATTACCAATCGTGATGGCGCCTTTAAAAAGTATGTGAAGGTACTTTAAGTAAATATAACAATAATCAAAGATGTTAAACCTACCAGCAGCCACGATAATATACGGATCCTTGGCTAACTGCTTCATTGAACTACCCTCGGGCTCGCCACGATCGATTTTGGGTTGTAGGACCATGAACTGGAGACCTGGAGATTTATATTTTTGCTCACTTTAAAATAATTTTTAGTGGTATAAATCAATTTGTGATTTTTTAAGTAGAAAAAAAAACCGTCTGCGAAAACCTACTTCCATCAAATAACGTCAAAAGCGCAAGCAGGATAAATGGCAGCGGCTTCCCGGCCCATTCATAGAGTACTCCGCCGTATGGTGGACCGACAAGTACGCCTAAAATTGATCGAATAAGACTGGAAAAAGAGTATGCTAGCAGAGGTCTTTGAGGAAATGGCCAATTTAAAGAACTACTTACCCAAAGCCAGGCCTCCCAGCGCAATCCCCATAGCGCTTCCACGTTCCGCATCATCTGGATACGCTTGGGCCAGCATTCCCATACCTAAAAACAACTTTGGCTTTATAGGTATCTATTGCTACCTTAAGTACTTAAAAATACGCTCAAATTTGACTCCGTGAAGCTTCCGATGTGAAAGCTACGATACCTGAAGTCGAGGTACAAGCCGATCCGATACCCTGCATCGCTCGGGCCAGCCACAGCGTTCCATAGGAAGACCCGAACGCGAACATAACTGTCGATAGGAACATGATGACAAAACCCCAGAACATTGGCATCGTGTAGCCAATTCTAAAAATACAATATTGGAGGAATTAGCTGTCTTTCGCTCTCCCCCTCTCTCTATCTTGCTCGCGCCCTCTCTCCCTCTATCTCTCTCTCACTCTCATATCTATGCCTCCGTCTCTTTCTAGCTCGCTCTCTCCTCTCACTCTCGCTCTCTTTCTCTCTCTCTCTCACTCCTCTGTCACTCACTTATTAGTCATCGGTCCAACCAAAGGGTTGACAAGCAGCTGGATCAGCGCCTTGGAACCGAACATCAATCCGACGTGCACATTTTCCTCAGCCAGGACTTGATGGCGATGCTCATTATCTGGAGCGCCAACGGATTCACCAGGTGGAGGGCCTAAAGGAGCATAAAACTCTGGAGAACGGATTCAACATGAGTTTTTTTTACTTTTTACGTACCTTCATCCCTCGGCGACTGCTTTGGCCGTTGCTTCGTCTTCGGTGCCAATGGATTCTAAAATGTTTAAATATTTATGGCATAAATCAGATCCCCCCACCTTGGCCTTGGACTTTGTTCGCCCCTTTGTCTTGCTCTTGCTTTTCGGCCCCAACGGGCTGGATTCCCACGGAATTTTGCGATCCTCGTCGTCAACTGGGAGGTCCCAGTCCTAAAAATAGTATAGATTTTTCAGTTTTGAATCTAAAGCTGCACTTTTTGAGGCCTATAGACACTTCAAAAAGCTAAAAATTTTTCGATACCTGACTCTCATCCCAATAGCCGGACCCGCGTTTTCCTCGAACGTGATCGGAGACTTCAGATGGCTAAAAAAATAGGTTTTTAAAGGCATTTAAAATTTTATAACTATTTTTATAATAAATTATGATTTATTTAGAGTCTTTCTCAGTTTTTTTAAAGGAGCAGGCCAGGCACAGGTATCCATTTCTCGGCTGCTGATTTAGGGAGGGCTTGCCCACGACCGCGCGACGTGACGCGCGCGTTTTTCGCCCGAAAGTATGTCGTAATCCGTTACGCGATGTAAACCGTGGCGGCAAATTTGAGCACCAAGCCTTGCACGCCCCTTTAATGCGTCTTACCTTGTTATAAAGCAACAGATCCGTCTCGTTCGGATGCGATAACCGGAGCAGATACTCTGGGATGATTGGGACTAAAGTTTAAGTTTTTTAAGGTATCACTAGAGACCTCTTACCAACTGTTGTCAACAGCATATTATCCAAAAACAACGCAATGTAAACGATCAGCAGCAAAATCTTCCGGTTGCCCCGGTATTTCGCGATCAGGTCTTGCAGCGTCATTTTTCCCAAAAATTCAAGTACTAAAAAATGAAAGAAGAATCTATGAAAGGATCTTTTGCCTTTAAAAAGCAGAAAAGCAGAAGAAAAATGAAAATGATGGCAAAACAACAAGGCGGTGAGCCTGATGATCCCAAATTAGGGTGCGAAAATGAGCAGGGTTTCCAAGGGGTTTTTGGGCAAATTGGCGAGGGCAGGGAAATGGGGGAACAGCTCTGTTTTTGTCATTAAAAATAGTGGAAAATTGCTATTAAGCTTGCTATCAAAACCTAAAAATTGAGAAACCAGGGCAAAATGTTTCTAGGTATCATTCTTGCCTTAAATAAGCATGCAAAAAATTGCATCGAAAATAGCAAGAAAATTACATTTTTGAAAAAACCGATAAAAAATTGGCAAACATTTTTTCGAGAAATTTGTACAAATTAATTTAGATTAAAATAAATACCTTTTAGTCTTAAGATGATGTTAATATCATTTATTTTATAACGAAATACTCCTTTATGCAAGATACACCCAACTTAAGGAAGATCCGGCTTGGCGACGACGCTTCTGAAGGGCCAGCCACCCAGCCAAATCCCGGCTTCTGGGTTTGCCCGTCTCTGCACTTGACAACCCCTTTCTACTCCTCACCTTCCCCGAAAGATAATCGAAAATTCAGCCCCTTCCCCACTCAAAACGACACGAAAATTACCTTGGTATTGACAGGAAGGGGAAAAGGAGACGACGTTGCGCTTCGAATAGATTTCATTCAAAAGCGGAAGGTCAAAAAATCAAAAGTGAAAAATCGGGGGTGTCTGATTTTGAGGATGATGAGTTCAGAAAGCAGAACGTAAAGTTTATCAAAGTTAAGAAGCCGTTGCACCTGAGGCGCCTAGGGCGCGCGTCCCAGGGCGCGTCTACGCAATGCGATAAGTGACGCGGCACGTCAGGCGACGCGCGACGAGTATGTACGCAACGCTATGCGCAATAACTAAGTATGTGGCGCCATGCACGACGCGACGCAGGGCGCCATACGCAACATGACGCATGAAGCAACACGAAAGGCACGAAAAACCCCGCTCGAAACGCGACGCTTGACCGCTGCGATAAGTGAAGTTCGTAATCCTTTACGCAACAAAACGTAGACGAATGGCTCGAACGCAATCAAGCCGATAGGAAATGCAAAGCCGATCCAAGCTAAATCTATGCAAAACTATTACTTGCGCTGCACCTTTAAATTCAATTGAATAATGATTTGGTTAGGTTAGGTTAGGCGGCTCACTAAATTAAAAAAAACAATTCCCTCCTAACGCATATGAATAGCTGATTACAGCCGCCTGCAATAACTGATTCCAGAGACCTCAAAAATTGAAGAGAAATGATGCGAGTTTTGCGGGGCAGGAAACTAGTTTCCTTCCCGTGCTTACACCGCTTCTCGGTCCCCTCTTCTTCTCCAGGTAGAGCGGGACTCTAGTGAGATTTCTAAAGGAGAGTGGAGGGGTATATTTCGAAAAAAGATTGAATGATCACCAAAATAAGCCAATGGAAACACATTCAATTTCGCGACGTGACGACAAAAAAATTTGCAATTTGCGAATTTGTAGATTCAAATTGTCTATCTACCGACCACCAGATGTAAAGAAAAAGCCATGGCCCTGCAATACCAGACCAACTAATTTTTCATTTTCTTTCATTTTCATTTCCCAGATGTGAGAGCTACCCGCTCTCATAAATTATACTTGAAGCTTCTATTCAGGGTCCATGTGGGTCCTTACTGGAGGCAATCTAGCAAAGATCCTGCTGGAAATGGGTAAAAAAAGCGGATCATCAAGTATAAATAATGACTTGGTTCTGAAAAATGCATACACCCCCAAAAAAGCAAGAATACGCAGTAGCAAGTGTATGAAAGGACTTTTTGAAAAGGACATGGCCTTTTCCCAGGCCACACAAACATACCGTATCAAAATAAAGGTACGTAGCGTACCATTGGATTGTCTGCCAATATCTATTGTAGAGTTTCCGGCATTTTTATGAATTTTAAAGAAAAATCAGAAGGTAGAAAATTGGATATTGCATATTGGATGTAGCGGGAGTAATTCTTTAAGAATTTCCAAAATTACTCTATGAAACTTAGAATCTTCCATTTCTCAAAAAAACCTCGTCAAACAGTCAAAACGGACCACCCTGAGAATCTTAGCCCAAAAATATCACTTCCGAACCCCCAAAAATAGCTTTATCCCGCGTGTCCAAATTCGTGTATCCCCCCACCAGGTGGGGACGTGTAAAGAAGCAGCCCTGGCCCCCCCAGATCGGCTCATTGGCCCTCACACCCCCTTCTCTGGGCCCCAATCTGGGCCCCTAGCGGGCCCGGATTCAGGCCATAATTCATCGTATGTGTGCCCTCCCGAATAGCTCTAGACCCAGCTGCCAAGCTCCTTAGCTGGGGCCAGATACCGCAGCACGAACAAAAAAAATATAGACCGAGCAGATAGATGAGGGGAGAGCCGTAGACGATTTGGTTGTTGGCCCAAGGAGAAATGGGATCCTGACGAATGGCCCTTGGGTAGATCGGCACGGATAATTGGCTGGCTATCGGGGCCCCCCTTGGTCTGTTGAGAAACACCCACACAGATCCATAAACAACGGGCTGTTCCGTTATGAGGAGTGTTGCGGAAAAGGGATGACGACATCAGGTTTGGTATTCAGGGAGGAGGGAACATCAGATCAAAGGACGCTCAGCTAGCCAATGTTGTTGAGACCCGAGGAGCCGAAAAAACACAATAATCCATTAGCCGCCTTTTCCAGGCCATCACACCGACAGGCCACCCACGCAAACACCGAATCCTACATAAGCACAGCAAACCCATCAACGAGTGGAGAGAATTCAAGCCACTATTTTATAGATAAAAGTGATCGTTAAAGCATTTACCTATCTTAAATGAGTGAATGCGCAGCGTGATTTAAATAAAATTAAAAAGGAAAAGAATTATAAAAACTTTCAAAATTTTTTGACTGGTTAGTCAAAAATGTATAAAAAATGTCCAACAAAAGTAAAAAATCTTGAGGTTTCAAAATTTTATATACCTTTTTTCAGTGTAGTTTCAGTAAAAGTAGTGGTTAAAGTATTTCGTCAACTTAAAAAGATCAAAA